TCCCTAAACTATTCGAGGGGTGTCAACCAGGTCCTCGAACTATGAAAATCGACATGTGGGTCCTCGAACTATTGTAAGTGTCTCAGTCACGTCCAAAACCTGCCCGACCCAGTCTGACCTACCGTTGACTGTTGCCACGTCGGACAGGGGTAACGGAGGTGGATGGATATTTACAAAAAACACGCCGAATTGTTTCAGATCTCCATTCCCCAGTCCTTGCCTCTTCTTCTCCTTCTCTCCCGATCTCTCTCACGGCGATTTGGGGGCGGCGGCGCCTTGGCGATTTGGTGTGGCCGCACGGAGACGGCGGCGCCTGCCTAGGCGTCGATGGCTCCGGTACGACGGCTCCCTGGAGATCCTCCTCCACAGTACGGTATGTTCCTCTCTGTCCCCCCAATCGATTTGTGACTAGGGTTAGGATTTGATCCGAATTGGTTAGGGTTAGGTTTGTGCGCAGCTTCCTGATGCTCGATTCCCTCTCTTTGCACGTAGGACCGAACGACAACCTCTTTTCAGTAGAGATTCATCACAGTGGGTTCTTTTGTGGTGACGGCCCAAACAAGACATATGTAGATGAGCGTATTGACACATTTGATTGTTGTGAAGTGGACACATGGTCTCTGCTTTGGATAGAAGATTTTGTTAGGTAGTGTGGCTATGCAGATGTCACAAGGTTGGAAGTGTATTGGTTGCTGCCAGGGAAATCATTGTTTGGTGGTCTGCGAGTGCTCGGGTGTGATGCTGACACAAATTATATGATGTCTGTGGTCAGCAAGATCAAAACTTTTGAGCTATATGTGAATGATAAAGATCTGGAGAGATCAATCTTCAGTGATAATGACATTCCAATGACTGGAGGCCCTGAGCTGCCTAAGGTTTTTACTCCTACAAAGATAAAGCCACTGGATATTCCACCCTTCTATGATAATGTCATCAGCCCCAAACAGAGAGCAAAACTTCAGAGAAATTTTGTCAGGAGAGAGGCTGAGGCATGGAATAGTAATGCAGGGCATCAGTTCACATATGAGAGGAGAAGCAATAGGAGGAGGGCTCAGTTTGAACCAGAAGTTGAAGAGGACAGTTCTGGGGGTGAAGACAGTAGTAGTGGATCAGAGTTTGTGGACTCCGATAATGAGTTCGATAAAGATGATGACAACCTATATGAGAAGTATGTTGATGCAGATGCAGAGGAGGAGGAGCAGAGCAAGGACAAGGACAAGGACAAGGATATTGGAAGCTCAAAGGAAAAGGGAAATGCAAGTAAGGGCAAGAATTTGGTGGAAGAAGAGGAGGAGCTAGACCTCCCAGATTCAGATGAAGAAGGAGGTGAGAACAGTTTGAAGTTCAAAAGTTTTAGGCCTGAAGACATGAAAAATCCTGTGTTCAAAGTTGGAATGGTCTTTTCATCAATTGTAGAGGTTAGGACAACTTTGGCAGAGTATGCTGTTAAGAACAGGGTAGCTATAAAGACACCAAAAAACGACAAAATTAGAGTGAAAGCTCATTGTGTCCCAGGTTGCAGTAGTTGAGGTTGAAAACACCATCACCTGGACATGGTTTCTCAAGACCTTGAAAGAGGATCTGTTAATTCAGAACACTAAACCATGGACAATCATGAGTGATAGGCAGAAAGGCTTGATTAATTCTGTGGACGATATGTTCCCTGATTCGGAGCATAGGATTTGTGTACGACACTTATACCAGAACTTCCATGCCAATTGGAAGGGTGAAACATTAAAGAACCAGTTGTGGGCAATAGCAAGAAGCAACAATATGGCTACATGGAAAAAGAACATGGACAAGATGAAGGAGATGAATCTAGAAGCATGGGCATATTTGGATGGCCTTGCCCCTAACACATGGTGTAGGGCATTTTTTGAAGAATTACCTAAATGTGATCTACTCCTCAACAACAGTTGTGAGGTCTTCAACAAATGGATACTTGATGCAAGGGAGTTACCAATTCTAAGCATGTTGAGGAAGATCAAGGCGCAGTTGATGACAAGATGGTATACAAATAGAAAGCAATGTGAGGATGACTGGTCTCAACTACCATTATGCCCAAAGATCAAGAAAAAACTTGACAAAAACATTGAATGGGCAAAAAGTTGCCATGAACGTCCTGCTGGCAAAGGCGTGTTCAAGGTAATGAGCCGTGAAAATGAATATGTTGTTGGTATTCTCAAGAACAAATGTAGTTGCAGAAGGTGGTAGCTGACAGGGATTCCTTGTAGCCATAGTATTGCTTGTTTGAGGTTTGAGAGAATTAAACCAGAGGACAAAGTGGCTGCTTGCTATAGTATTGAGGCATATAGGTTGGCATATGGACATGTCATCATGCCTTGCAGAGATCCAGCTGAGTGGCAGAAAACAAATGGTCCTCCGGTAGAACCTCCAAAGTATGAGAAGAAGGCAGGCAGGAAAAAGAAGAAGAGAATAGTTCACCCTTCAGAGAAGGATGAAGGCACTAGGTTTAGCAAGCATGGAGTAATAATGCATTGCAGTGTCTGCAACTCCACAGAACACAATAGAAGAAAATGCACTGTACTACATCCATCTGATAGAGTGCCTGCACTAGAAAAACTACCTGTGAGAAGAAATTTGGTTCAAGCACCTACTGCACATGACTCCCAATGCACTGAGATGACCATCACACAAGTACTGAACTAACCATGCTTGAATGCCTACTTGTATTGTATCCAAATGCAATGAATTGACATGGTTTTACATTTGAAATTAGATACCTGGTGAGGATAGTTCACACACATGTTCGGTGCTGTCAACATTATTCCAAGAGGTTAGCATTTGTTCCAAGGAAATGTTGTTTACATATTTATCTGTCCGGAAATACTTGTCGCTCAAACGGATGTATCCGTGGTGTCAATTGTGTAGGTTGAAGCACCTCAAGTAACACCTGATGCACCACCAGGACCACTTCCTGAGTGCTCTTTCATTGCATCGAGGAGAGATGAGCTGCCAGTGCCCAGGGCTACAACCAGTGCACAATTTCTGAAGAAAAAGCTACAAACTAAGAAGAAAAAGACAACTCCTAAAGCGGCTGTTAGGCAAGCCTTTGTGCCTCGTAGAGCAGCCACTCAAGACTCCCAAACAGATGCTGCTGTTGGTGTAACTGAAGCAGCAAAACAGGCCAGAAGAACAAAGGCAAAGAAAGTGCATAAAGATTAATGCATAGAGAGAAAAGCTCCTTGAGGTGTTGAAGGAAACCTGAGCTCATGCCCATGTCTTGGCTGTAGGTTTTGATCCACACCTTGTAATAGCGTATGGAGTGCATATGTGTCCTTTGTGAACAACCTGCTATGATAGATGCTACTGTCCCTCTCTTTTGGATGCACTCCTCTTTTGTGACAAAACTTGTTATGCATTCAGCTAATCAATGATGATTGATTTCATGCCAATTATGTATGTCTTTTGTGAACAACCTGTTATGATAGTGCTTGTTAAAAATGTGATGAAATGCTTGCCAAAATTTGTCATGCTTACACATTCTGGGAATATTGCAAAGCACATTCTGGAAATATTTCATAATGTCATCGCTACATGCATCATACATTGTTCACTGCCAATGTTTCTTGCACATTTGGCAACTAAAAACACATTTCAGCTCCTACTTCATTACAACAGCATACAAGTTCACGGCAAGAATCATGGTACAAACAAGCAGAATCTTCCAACCTATGCCTACAACAAGATCCAACTGAAGCTTGATATCTTCAACAATCTGGCTCATCTGATTTCCAGGAATGTTGCTAATCTTCTTGACCACACTTTCTACCCTGCTATCTTTCTCTATGAAACTAGCACGAATGTTTGGCTTCGTTCCTTTGGTTGTCATCTCCCTGTCCAGATAGGGCTTGGAAATCATTGCAATGTACTCCACCTCCTCTTCAGGAATATTATAACCATGGCACAAAACAAGATCCAAATATTCATCTATCCAGTGATAGCAGTCACAAGATCCATGTGACCCTCTCTGCCAAAATAAAAAAAAAATAAAAAAAAAACAAGCAAACAAAGAGCAGAAAATTTGAGAAATCTTATTGATTCGAAAGTGAAGACTAACTCAAACAACGAAAGTGACCTTGTGATTAGGGCATTTGAAGAAAACCCGTCCTGGATTCCTGTCAGATTTGGAAACCAGACGAATCACTTGCCTCCAGCCGCACGTGCAGCACTTAAGTAGAGGGAGAGATGCACCAGCCTCAGGGTCAGAGGAAGGCGGCCAGGAAGAGCTCGCTGACGCGCTCCAGCTCCGAACCATGGCGCCGCCGCCCCCAAATCGCCGTGAGAGAGATCGGGAGAGAAGGAGAAGAAGAGGCAAGGACTGGGGAATGGAGATCTGAAACGATTCGGGGTGTTTTTTGTAAATATCCATCCACCTCCGTTACCCCTGTCCGACGTGGCAACAGTCAACGGTAGGTCAGACTGGGTCGGGCAGGTTTTGGACGTGACTGAGACACTTACAATAGTTCGAGGACCCACATGTCGATTTTCATAGTTCGAGGACCTGGTTGACACCCCTCGAATAGTTTAGGGACCTACAGTGCACTTCACTCTGTTGTATATGAATTGTGGATAAAAGATATCCTGCCAATATTTTGGCCATGACAAAAAAACTTGGTCTTTGCAGAGACGGATCTGCATAGAGCTCAACAAGGGCCAGGGCCCCCACCAAAGTTTACAAATCTCACGAGAGTTTGCTTGCATTTTTCAAGGAAAAATGCTTAAAGTTTTCAGATCTACTATTACACAAGAAGTACCATCACTCCACTGATTTGCCCCCACTCCAGTTTGCACTTCTCTCCAATCAATGGCAGAATTTGTGGCCTGTCGCTCCAGCGAGGATCCATGCATCCCCCCGATGTAACTCACAATCTATGGCCCTCTGCCGCCGTAGAAATATCTTATTTGTCTCAAGGGAAACAGCACACGGAGCTTTCTTCTCAATACTTTCATCAGCCGGCTAATTACTTGTGTATTTTCTAATTTGCGTCAATCGGTGGCCGTTGTTTGTGGTGATCGGTGACAGACTGGTACGCCATCGCCAGCGCTAGAGCCTGCGATCAAATTCAAAACACACAAACATGGCCAGCATCATCACCGTTCCTCGTGTCAACAAGTTTCTTGCTGTCAACTCTAGTAGTGCCGTTGCTCAAGATAAGTAAGATGTCCTGGGACAAGAAAAAAGCTTACAATGTGGTCATGGTCAGGGGGAGCATATATACCCGTCGTCACTGTGGTTCGTCTCCTTGTGTTGCCTTTTGGTGGGTGTTCGATGCTCTTGAAGCCCGTAGGCACCACGACGATGGGCAACCCCACGAGGTTTCCCAGACAAACGAGCTCCCAGTCGGTCACATTACCGATGAACGCGTCAACCGTGAAGCTCTCCCGGACCTCCCTGATCAGCCTACCCCGCGCTCTCTGTGCCTGTTTGTCACAACTCCTTAATCGTTCGGGTACAGTGAATAGGTATTGTCATTGTGTTTGGTTTCCTTGGTATATCACCTGTACATAGTCGACTGCTGGGACTAATCGTGCACGACGAAGCTCCACCGGCCATTGATCTTGAGCTTCATAGTCATCGTCGTGTCCTTCGCGTTGCCAGTTGTCAAAATGTGCAAGCATATCGACGTCCATCGTGATGTTTAGAATGGATTGAACTGATTCGACAGTGTAGTTCAACTTGAAAGGCACAAACTTAGCGCCCTTGGCGGAAAGGACCTTGACAACCTGGTATTATGAAATCAAGAACAAAGTTTATCCCAGGATCAGATCAGGAACGAGCAATCTCATTGCATGAACCAGATTGCCGAACACATTTAGGATCCCAGTTACCTCCATCTCAGCGCTGTCAAGATATCCAACAGTGAGTTTTGTGATGTCGACATGAAATGGGTCCTCTAAAGCAATTTCACGAGACGAGGGATCACCAGGATCTGAGCCACGGATTGCATCTAATACAATAGCACAGTCTGCTGCGCTTCTGCAGAAAGGACCGAGTTTGTCCTGCCATTTTACGATAATAAACTCATCATTTACAAGACTGAATCCAATCTGGAAGGGAAAAATGAATAATTTGCATGAACATACCAGACTCTCAGAAAGGCTCATGACACCGGTCCGTGCAACTGTTCCGAATGATGGGCGCAAAGCAGTTACTCCACATCTAGCTGCAGGATATGTTATGGATCCTGCTGTTTCCGAACCAATTGCAAAGGGAACCATTCCTAGGAGAGCGAAAAGAAGTTTCATTTAGTATAACATATTATTCGTCTGGTTACAGGTGCAAATATGTTTACAAGTAAACCTGCACTGGTGCTAGCAGTTGGCCCTGCTGATGAACCAGTAGAAAATTCCTCAATGTTCCATGGGTTTCGTGTTCTCCCCCCAAACCATATATCATCATAGGCGAGTGAACCTGTCACAAGCTTCGCTACAAGGACTGCCCCAGCGGACTTCAATCTGTGAAAGGATGATACACATGGCACTCAGAACACCGCTTAAACACAGAAGTGACCATAGGACGTGAATTTGGGCGCCTGTTCATACTGTAGGGGTCTCCCTCGCAGTTTTATTTCAAAAACAAACATTGCTTAAACACTATGCTGCAGGAGAAATGAACAAACCTTTTGTATACAAAAGCTTCCATATCAATAACTTGATTCTTGAATGTCTTTGAGCCCCAAGTTGTATTGTATTGTGGCACTGCAATTATATCTTTCAGGCCATATGGAATGCCATGCAAGGGACCTAGTATGAGAAGTTGTCAGTACAACATTTATGTATTAGCATAGTACTGACAGTGGATGGCCTTGCTTGCAACTAATTTCACATAATCGAGAGACTTCCCCCTTTGGAGTTTTAAAACACTTGTAAAAGGTTGAACTAGCGCAAGATACTACTGAACATCATTTTGTTCCACACCTCCTCAATAAAGCGAGAATCAATCTCAACAGGAAGCTATGTATACCGAAAAATGTTATCGATGGAACAAAAGATTTAGGAAAAATCAAATAGCCATATTATAATTCCAAGAAGATTTCTCATATACCAAGGTATTTTCCTTGCTCCAGCAAGTCATCTGCCTCTTTTGCTTGCTTGTATGCTAATTCTTCAGTGTATGTAATAACAGATTCAAGAACAGCACCATACCTAATGAAAATATCAAACCACTACATGATTAAGAAATAATTCTCAGTCTAATGTCATACTCATATAAGTCCATGTGAAAAATGTGAGGAAGAAAATAAAGCCAAACCTTTTTAATCTCCTTAAAAATACGTCAGTAAGTTCATGTGATGTTATTTTCTTTGTCCTAAAAAGCTCCCCGAGCTCAATTATCTGACATGGAGATTGTCGAATCAAAAGAAACTCATTTGAAGTCCATAACCAATGTATGATAAAATGGTTAATAAAACTGACCGACATAAAGGCAATATCTTCATCATTACTAGGACGCTGTGTCATAGAGGTTTGAGGACAGTCGAACATTTCACTCTCCTTGACTTTGCTTTTGCTACTCCATGATGATTTGAAGACTAGAACAGAAGGGTCATGCAATCCACCATCCTTCATAGCCACCAACCTTCGGTTTTCTCTAAATGCAGGCACATTAAATTCTTTTGCGCCGTTTTCCATCTCACGTAGCTGGCAGAACCAAGCAGAGTATAGGTGGATAAAACAACAATGTTAACACCATAATCATTGGAAAAAAATATTAACACATCAGGACATGAAAACTATAAGGGAACCCTTCGTAATTACTTTTGAATCGTTGAAAAAATCAGCATCGAAGTACTTCATGGACTCCTTCAAGGCAATCACACCGCCTACCGGTTCTTTTCTCGAAATATCTTTTGCAGAAATAGCATCCTTCGTGTCATGAAAATATAGAGGTAAATCGATAGGCCCAGTAATCAAAAATTGAGAAGAACATTGCTATATTTAACAGAAGAGAAGTCCATGCCTTCCAAATCTTGTGGTATTTGGATACAAGAGTATATGAGTGACTCTTCCCACTCATTCGCAAGGGTAACCATGCGCATTTTGGTGGCCACGTGGCCCATGTCTGTTTCCACAATATAATAAACCATAAGAAAGCTTTGCTAAGAGTGAATTGTACATGAATCAATTCTGACCTTATGGTTCGACACTAGACAATCACGGAAAAAACATAAATCTGGAAGAGAAAAAGTGACTCCGTGAGAGCAACGCCTAGTTAGTAGTGGCATGTGGCATGTACACCATTAAACCTGATCACTTCTTATCCTCAAAAGAACACATTTTTTTAGCAAACTCAAAAGAACACATTTTTTTTAGCAAACTCAAAAGAACACATGTAGTCAGAAATTTGAGCACACCGTTTCCAACTAATCTAATGAAGAAATCCAACAGTAGGCCCAGCTATATTTATTGCCCATATTGCCACAGTCCAAACTAAAAAAAAAACTGAAGTGCCTGCATAATACAGTGGTAAGGCCGGAGTCAGCTGTGAAATGCCAAAAACACTACAACAAATGCGTGTTCCTGTCGCGCAATCTCATCATTCATCCGCAATTTGGCACCCCCACCACCTGAAAGAAAAAATAGCAGCCGGCCTTGACGGCTTAACTGCAGTAGGGCACTCCAGGAAGCCGACAGTTCGCTGGTGCCAACTGCCAACCAGAGAGGCAAGGTCACGACATGAACAGTAGCATAGTACGAAGCCAAGCTAGTAGCGTACTACGCAGTTCGCTAATCGCCGAGCAATCACTATCGTTCACGAAAGGCCACTTGCTGGTCTATCAATGAGCTCGCTCGCCATCTGATTCTTTTTCAATCGACGACGAGACCATTTCGTTGGTCTCAACTCAATCGCCACGCTGCGCCACTATGCTGCTGAATCGAATGGAAGTACTAAAGAAATCGGCGTACCATGATGCTGCCGGTGACGCTGGCGATGCCGCCTCCTCCTTCTCCGGTGCCTCCTGTACTGGGAGCGGCGGCGGCGGTTTTCAGGGCAGCGAAACAGAGGGCGACGAGGAGGAGGAGGAGGTGGTGGAGACACGGCGGCGGGCGGCGGTGTCCACGTGGAATCCGCATGGCCGACACCTGGCGGGCGCCCGCGCGCGCCAGCCGGGGGGGCGAGAGAGAGAGGGAGGGGAATTAATGGAACAGGGGATCTCTATCCGCTGCTTGAGAGAGAAGATCCTGTGTTAGATTTAAGTAAGGCCTCCGCTGAAATCAGTGGGTCTCCTTCTCGCGCTTGTCGTCCGCCAGTGATGATTAAATATGAAGGGAAACTTTAACAAACCACCAACTGCCGATTGCTTCTGCGCTTCGGCCGCCTCCTCCCCCTACAAGTCTACAACCAAGAAACCGTTCACACATTTTTTCTTCTTCCTGCCCCTTTTCTTTTATATACATTAGCACGTATGCCCGTGCGTTGCAACGCGAAAAAAAACTTTATTTGTTTTTTTTTCTCTTGGAAGAACGGCATCCTTGTCGACGAGCAAGAAGAAGAGGTGGACCTTGATGAGATCTTCCCAAGGTTTCACTATGCCGCCAACTGGGTGGCATCCTTCGTTGACTTCGATAACTTCCTGGAGCCGACTGATATTGACCCTAAGTCTGAGCAGTGAGTTTAAAAAATAGTTTAAATTTGCCTCGGTATGCCGAGTGGAAGTGTAAAATTTAATTTAAGTCCGACCGGTGGTGGTGATGCTACAGTTTTAACTTTATATCGTAACTACTTTTGTTGCACTTGAAATTGCTTTTTCTGACTCTTTTCCTTTTAAATCTTTCACAATTGATCGTCCTATTACTCGGTTTTCCTTGGCTTTTTGCTTGCCAACTAGGCAGACGAATTGTGGGCTAGCTGGTGACAAGAGGTACCACAGTCTTCCGAGTTGCCTTGGATTTCTTTGCTAAGATAGAAAGGAGAACAGGTCGAGGGACACTCTCCAAGGAGTGCAACCTAAAGGTGGACTTAGTTCTAAATTAGACTGCTGGCCAGATTGAGCCCTTTTAGTGGTCTAGCCCTTGAGTGTGGCCAGCTCCCGAGTGTGATGAAGCCACTAAGTTCATTGCAACCTTTGCCAAGTTAGAACAGTCGAAAACACTCAAAGTAGTTATTGGGAATGCAAATTTTATTTCATCGTGTCGGACTCGGAAATGTTATTATGCTACAAAGCGAAGAAGAAACTTAGGCTGTGTTCGGTAATACTCCGCTCCTTTGCCAGGGAGCGGAGTGGGCGGAGCGCCCATTTTGCCGCTCGCCAAAACTGTACTGGACGCCGCTCCGTGAAAGTGCGTTATGTCGACTAGAGGAGGGATGAATAGGCAATTTTTATGAATTCTTCACTGAGGAATTTGCCGGTGAGGAAATTCCTTAGCGAAGAACTATTAGCAGCGGAATAAGTACTCAGAAGTAAGCATAACAGAATACAAGCATGGTCATCATGATGAAATGAAGACTAGCACAGAGTACAGAAAGCGTAATCACAGGATAACACAAGATGAAGACAAACAGACTGAAGAAATTGAACTAAGGAAATTGAGAAAGTCTTCAGTCAAAGTCTTCAAACACAGATATGAACAAACATTCAACACAATAATGAGGAAATAGAAGGGTTGAGGAAATAGAACCATTAGGTTGGTGAAGACAATGATTTGGTAGACCAGTTCCAACTGCTGTCTCAGTTGTACGTCTGGTTGGAGCGGCTGAGTATTTAAACTCGAGGACACGCAGTCCCGGACACCCAGTCTCTGAGCCGCAACTCAGGACACCCAGTCCTCACCGTATTCTCCTTGAACTAAGACCACGCAGGCCTCGTCCAATCACTCGTGGTAAGTCTTCAGGTGACTTCCAAACCTTCACAGACTTGGTCACTCGGCAATCCACAATTCCTCTTGGATACTCTATACCTTGACGCCTAACCGTCTGGAAGAAGCACAGTCTTCAAAGGTAACAAGCGTCGGATCCACGCAGGATCAATTTCTTCAGTGATGCTCAATCACTTTGGGTTTAGAGGTGTTTGGGTTTTTGGGATTTTCCTCACTCGATGATTTTCGCTCAAAGTCCTCGGAGGATGGGTTGCTCTCAAATGACAAGTGTCAAGTTCTCTCGGAGCAGCCAACCAGCTAGTGGTTGTAGGGGGCGGCTATTTATAGCCTAGGGAGCAGCCTGACATGATAAGACATAAATGCCCCTTAATGATATGACCGTTAGGTGGATAAGATATTTTGGGACAGCTGGCGCGTAGCACAGCAACGGTCAGAAATTTGACTCTCAAATTCCTCAGGGCTATCATGTTCCTCATTGTGTAGGTAATTCGCACTGACGAATTCCTAACTCCTCAGTCAGAACAAATTCATCAGTGACCAGAAGAACTTCGTCTCTGTCACTGAAGAAAGTGACTGAACTGTATGAGATTTCCAAAGGCTTCACTCGAAGGGATTGGTAGGTGTAGGATTTTGAGTTGAGCATCACATGGAAATTTTTCCTTAGTATTTCCTCGACCCCCTTTAACAGTACGGTGTTTCCTATGACTCAAGAAAGAGAAAATGAAACTACGAAAACAAAAGTCTTCACGCTTCATGTTCCACAAATGAATACCAAGTCTTCAAGGTCACACCAATTTCTTCACTTTCAAAGTCTTCAGAAAGTCTTTAGAATATCAAAGTCTTCAGTTGAAGAACTTCATTTTTAGGGGTCGACTTTCTCTGTAAATATCAAACTCCTCATAGACTTATAGACCTGTGTATACTCACAAACGCATTAGTCCCTTAACCTATAAGTCTTCAATACACCAAAATCACTAAGGGGCACTAGATGCACTTACAATCTCCCCCTTTTTGGTGACTGATGACAACATAGGTTAAGTTTTCAACGGGGATAAACATATGAAGTGTATACACTGATATTGAGGAATTTGATTATAAGATATAGTAGAACTCCCCCTGAAGATGTGCATAGTGAAGAATTTGCTTTTGAAGCAATGCACACTTGAAGAGTTAAATCATGGAGATCTCCCCCTATATCTTGTAATTCATACACGCATTTGATATATAATATGAAGAATTTGAAATGCATGATGAAATATGATGCCTGATGAGATTTAGCATGCGTGCAATGTCATTAACGAGGAATAAGCATGCAAAGCATAATGCAACAAAAGTATCAGCGCACCATCGGGTTTAAGATTACAACTCGATCCAAATAAAAGTTTCTGAAGAACGAGAGTTGTAACTTAAAAAAATGCCCTTAATATAAACCCGCTTGAAGACTAACTCAGATTTCTCCCCCTTTGTCATCAAATGACCAAAAGGATTGAAACTGAGGACTAACGCCCCTGAAAAATTTCAAGTCGATGGAGGAGCGCCAGCGTTGTCGGGATTGTTTGTTGTAGTAGGGCCTGCCGCAGTGTCGTCCAAATCTTCATACTCATCAGTCTCGCGTGATGAAGAATAGGAGCTGGCCACCAAGGAAGGAACTTTGACCTTCTTGAATTTCTTCGGATCTGCAGCGCTGTAGACATGAGAGAGAACAACCCAGGTACGGTTGAAGGTTTCATGGAGGTAGTATTGGTTTTTCTTCACTGCATTGTGTGTTGAGGTCATGTTGTGAAGAATTGAACCAAACTGATGCTTGACCCATTTGTGATTGCGATCAACCTTCTGATGAAGACTGAGGAGTAACTCATGATCACTCATCACCCTGGTAGCTGTGGCTTGAGGATTTTGCTTGGCTGAGGTATTTGCGGCAGAGTCATGTGTGGCAGAATCGTCATTGGTAGAGTATGATGCTGCCTTGCGAAATTGACCATCCAATGGACGAATGCCTTCGTCGATCACAGCAGCGGCCTTGCCTTTATCATCAGCTGATGAAACTGTCCGTTTGAGGACTTCAATGGGAAGCAAGTAGCTACCGTGGTTCAGAGTGTCAGCTTTGTAATTCAGTGAAGATCTTGCCCGGATGAATCTCATAATCCAAGGAGCATAGGGCTTTAGCTCGAATGGTGACATAGCAATATTGGCCAGAGTCCTCATGAAGAAATCATGGAAGTTGACTGGAACGCCATGAATGATGTTGAAGAGCATATTCTTCATGATGCCAACGACTTCTTCATCATTTGAGTCGTGGCCTTTGATAGGACTCATTGTCTTCGTCAGAATTCGATAGACAGTCCGAGGCACATAGAGTAATTCCTTGACGAGGAATTTGGTTCGTGGGGCCTGCCTTGGCTTCAAAGGCTTCATCAGTACTTGCATATAGTGATCTGACAGTTCTGGTTCATTATAGATGCAACGAGCACCATGAAGTGGAGGACTGAGAGGAAGGACACGAAGCAATTCAGTTGCTGGTGCCTTGTAGTGAGTGTTTTCAGACATCCAGTCCAACACCCATGAATTGACATCTTCAGCGTCTCCGGTGATATGCAGTGTGGCGTAGAACTGAATAATGAGTTCTTCATTCCAATCACAGATGTCAGTGCAGAAATTGAGTAATCCTGCATCGTGAAGAACACTGAGGACTGGCTCGAAGCATGGCAGAGATTCCATATCCACATGAGGAATATGTTCATGATCGAAGATTTTGTCCTTGTCAAACAACACTGAGGAATAGAAGTTGGCTTGACTAGCAGTCCAGAAACGCCTCTTCCTTATGCGAGCAGAGTCATAGGGGTTGTAATCAGTGAAGAATACATGCTCGGAAAAGAAGTCTTCAGCCTTGAACTTTTGCTTGCTTGAGAACGGATTCTTCGGCTTGGGCAGAGGAGTGTCAGTGATTTGTAGCACAACCTCAGGAATCGCGAGCTCAGGTTCTTCAGGCTGAGGAATTTCTGGTTCCTCTTCTTGTGCAGCTTGGGGATCAGCAGCAGCAGGTTCTTCAGCACTAGCGGCTGGAATATCTTCATGAACAAATGGAGGGGGATGAGTTTCTTCAGAGCCCATCTGAACTGTTGTTGCCGGGGACTGAGGAATTTGTTGGATAGGTGTGAACAGAGGAGTATTGGGATGCTGACTTTCCCAAAAGTAATCATTCATCACAGGAGTGGTGCATCCAATATCCACATCTTCATTTTCATTTTCAATTTCCT